TTTTTTTTTTTTAGAAATTTAATTTCTTTTCATCCTTATATTCAAGTTATTTGAAGTGGGTTTCTGGGTTTTTTTTTTTCTCTGAATTTTTTTGTTTAGCATTTTTAATAATTAAATGTAGATAAGGACAGCCACTCCAAGCCTTTTTTAGCTTTTCATCATTCAGAAGATCTTTCAAGCCCAACTTTCATTCATCTTTTCTTTTTTATTTCCTTGTGTGATAAAAGTGTGATGAAGTCTCTGACATTAGTTAGCTAAAAACTTTCCTATTGGGCTGAGTTGGTGTTACATGTATAAATAAATTAATGGGGGACAAGGACTGTTAATTAATTTTGTTTTTAATAACATTTTTTTTTAGTATTGTTTGTTTTAGTGCGTTGGTTCTCTTTTTATTCTTCGTTGGCTTTCTCTTTTTCCTTTTCAGTTTCTCATTCTTTTCCTAAAATCCGATCTTTATGAAGAAATGGGTTTCATAAACTGAATTTAGGATGTTATTGTTTTTTTCCTTTCCGAAGTCTGATCTTTCTTTAGGTTATCTGTCTCCATCTGTGCACTCAGGGCTGGCTCTATTTTGATATCTTCTCTTAATAATAATAATAATAATAATATGTTATTATTATTATTATTATTAATCGAGAGGTTGATTGTTATGTATAAGCCTGGGGAATTTTTGAGGAACTTCTATCTTTAGGATTAGCGTTTTTCTTGATGTTTGGTGACATAAAATGACTTTACTTAACATTTATTTTTTCCTTTCATTTTTTCTTTATGTATATGTTTTGTTTTATGTTATAACTCAAGAAATGGTGTAATTTTAGATTTTTTTCTTAATAAAACAATTCATTGTGCTGATTAACTTTATAGGAACTAGAAAGTAGATGTCTCATCTATCTCAGGTGGTTCCATCCTGACTATATGTATTAACTGCTATGAAGATTGTTGTTGTCATTAAATTAGTTGCAAAAATTTTTCTATGCTACTATTCTATTTAAGATAAATACGTGCACATATGTTCCTCATATGGTTCTCTAGAGAAGTTGTGCATGTTGTTTGATAAGTTATCTTCTATTTCTTTTGCAACAGATGCCGTGAAAAGCAGAGGAAAGAAGCCTCCCGTCTTCAGACAGTGAATAGAAAACTGACTGCCATGAACAAGCTGTTGATGGAAGAGAATGACCGATTACAGAAGCAGGTCTCACACTTGGTGTATGAAAATGGGTACATGCGGCAGCAACTGCAAACCGTAAGTATTTATAACCTTTACCAGATAGCTCTTTGGGTTTTAAAAGTTCCATGGATTGCCAATAAAAAATGCATGTGAGAATCATCTCTCTTGGCTGCATTCATAGTGGTTCATTGTGTTTTTCATGCGACCCTGTCTCTGGCCATTCTTCTTGGAATCCTTTGTGTGTTTCAACTTTATACGAGACTTCAGTGTCACTTTGAGATACGGCCGTCCTTGAAATCTTTTGTAATTTATCGAAATTTGTAACTTGTTTTCTGGACAGGCTTCTGCAACGACCACAGACAATAGCTGTGAGTCTGTGGTCATGAGTGGTCAGCATCAACAACAAAACCAAACATCTCAGCACCCTCAGAGGGATGCTAACAACCCAGCTGGGTAAGTCATGTCACTTGAGTCTTCAACTAATCCATGTGTTTGCAATTTCTGATTTGGTGTCATAATGTTGTGAACTTCATTGCTCTATTTTTCAGTCTTCTCGCAATAGCTGAAGAGACCCTGGCAGAGTTCCTTTCCAAGGCTACCGGAACTGCTGTCGACTGGGTTCAGATGATTGGGATGAAGGTGAGGCTTCTCAGAAGTTACTCATTTGATCATATGTTACTAAGCAAACTGTAGGACTTCAAATATTGATGTCTATGCTTGTATTGATACTTGAGTTTACATTACAATTATTTTTTTAAAATGTAATTTTCCATTGAATTTTGTGTAGCCTGGTCCGGATTCTATTGGCATCGTTGCTGTTTCCCGCAACTGTAGTGGGGTGGCAGCACGAGCCTGCGGTCTTGTGAGTCTTGAGCCCACGAAGGTAATAATCTTCCTAATGCTCCCTCACAATTATGATGTCTAACATATGTTCTCTGAAGTATGTAATTGATCTCATTACAGGTCGCTGAAATTCTTAAAGATCGTCCATCTTGGTATCGTGACTGCCGATGTGTTGAGGTAGTTAGTGTAATTCCTACAGGAAATGGAGGGACAATTGAGCTCATATATATGCAGGTTTCTCCTTTCTTGCAATTGTAGACCTTGGATGGCTATGGCATTTTCTCAACTTATGTGTTCTACTCTCCTAATCTTTCAAATTTGTTTTGTCAGACTTATGCACCAACTACATTGGCAGCAGCACGAGACTTCTGGTCGCTGAGATATACTACAAGTTTGGAAGATGGCAGTCTTGTGGTAAGTCCATGTCAGTTTCATGTTGTTGCCTTCTTTAATGGGATTGAGTTTAGTGAACGTAAAACCCATTCACTTTCAGTACTACACTGCCCTTGTCTTCTTTATGGGAATTGCCACCTTTTGTGGTGGGGTTCAGCTAGGATCTCAACCAACCTGCTATGGCTTTAGAAACTGCAATTATATTAAAGGAGCTTCACACCCTTAAACTTCAAATTACAGTGAGATGTGAAAAATTTTGGTTAATATTTAACAATCCTGGGGGTTGCCATTGGCCTTCTTTGAAACAGTTTTCCATTCCTACTCCGGGTGATGTGATATTGAGTTGGCATTTATTTAGTAATTAGCATGACTCTAAATTTCATAGTTTGGGAGTGCATAAGTTCAGCAATTTGCATAGTTCCATGTGTAAAAGTGATTTCGATTTGTTGAATTTCTCATTGTTGCGTACAGATATGTGAGAGGTCGTTGACATCTTCCACTGGTGGCCCAACAGGACCTCCTGCTTCTAATTTTGTCAGAGCTGAAATGCTTCCTAGTGGCTTTCTTGTCCGACCTTGTGACGGTGGTGCCTCCATTATTCACATTGTAGATCATGTTGATTTAGATGTGAGTATAAGAACTGAGTTTTCCTTTTAGCTCTAATAAATGAAAATTAATTTGTTCAACCGTCTCACTGTTATGTCTGCTTATGTTAGGTTTGGAGTGTTCCTGAAGTTCTGAGGCCACTTTATGAATCATCCAAAATTCTTGCTCAGAAAATGACCATTGCTGTAAGAACTAGATTAGTGGCAATATATGGGGTCATTCCTTTTTAATGTGTTTAACATTATGTTTTATATCTCAACATTTTCATTTCTCAGGCATTGCGGCATATAAGGCAAATTGCACAAGAGACGAGTGGAGAAATTCAATATGGTGGAGGTCGTCAGCCGGCTGTTTTGAGGACATTTAGTCAGAGACTCTGCAGGTTAGGCTGTGCTAAGTATCAAGATGCTTGTGCTAATGCTATGTCTGCCTGATGAATATATCAGTGTATTTATAGCTTGAATTCAGTTTTCACCTAGTCAAATAAGACTATTTAACAATTGTGTAACTTTCATCCTTCTTCCTATATTGACTTTTTGTTCAAAATGGATCTTAGGGGTTTTAATGATGCTGTAAATGGCTTTGCTGATGATGGCTGGTCACTTTTGAGTAGTGATGGCGTAGAAGATGTGACCATCATGATAAACTCATCCCCAGGAAAATTTCTTAGTTCTCAATATAACACCTCAATGTTCCCTTCTTTCGGAGGAGGCATACTTTGTGCCAAGGCATCAATGCTTCTGCAGGTAATTTGCTGGATATATGAATTAAGTATTGGAGATAATCATAATCTGCTTTCAGCAGCCTTTTTCATGTTAGATTAACTGGTTACTCTTACTAATATTTGGATTTATCAATAATATGTGGTTCTTCAGAATGTTCCTCCTGCATTGCTTGTTCGCTTTCTAAGGGAGCATCGCTCAGAGTGGGCTGACTATGGGGTGGATGCATACTCCGCAGCATGTCTTAAAGCTAGTCCTTATGCTGTTCCTTGTGCAAGATTAGGTGGCTTACCCAGTAGTCAGGTTATTCTGCCTCTTGCTCATACTGTGGAGCATGAAGAGGTGACTGGTCTTTCCCTCTCATAAGTTCTTTTGCCCATGAATTTCTTTTCTGAGAAGGTTCAGAAAGTTAATTACTTTGTTTTGTATACTGCCGTAGTTTCTGGAAGTTGTTCGGCTAGAGGGTCATGCATTCACGCCTGAAGATGTAGCTCTGGTGCGGGATATGTATTTATTACAGGTTTGTTACTTATTGTCATCTTGTGGAAATTATGCTATTTTTTGCTTCATCAGGAAATAGTCACTAATGATTTTTTTTAGACTTAGTGCTAAGTTTAAATTTTGTTATGGCAGCTATGCAGTGGGGTTGATGAAAATGCTGTTGGTGCCTGTGCACAGCTTGTCTTTGCTCCCATTGATGAATCATTTGCTGATGATGCTCCATTATTGCCATCTGGTTTTCGTGTCATACCATTGGATCCTAAGACAGTTACGGTGACATGTCAATCTACTGCTTTGAATTTTAATAGAACATTCATATTTATGGGAAAATCAAGACGTGTTTGAGCTGGTTTGTTTACTTGGACAAGACCAAACTGTTTATAAATCCATTTTCTGTGCTCTAGACTTTTGCAACTTCAGCATTAAACTTTTGCATTTTCTTAAGCAGCTCATTTTTTGTTTTGATTAATAACAGTCTACAGAATACCTCAAAGATGATTTGCCGATAAAACCTGGATTGCTGATAACTACCCAAATCTTCAGAATAACAATTAACATATGATATTAGGGTTTTAGCAGAATGGTACTTGATTTATTTAGTGGGTCTATTCCTTTGTCTCCTTTTTCTTATTTAGGTTTTGATAATTTAAAATATATTATAAACCAAATTCCTGTTATTCAGAGTTGCCATTTGTATGATGCATAAGTTGAAATGATTCCCCATGAGTGATTCCGGTTATTTTGTGAGAAAATACTCATTTCGCTCTTTACCTCTTTTCTTGTGGTTGTTTCTGCCTCTTTGTGCTTGCAGGATGCCCCTGGTGCTACTCGAACACTGGATTTGGCCTCTGCACTTGAAGTAGGGCCTGGTGGTGCCCGTCCAGCTGGTGAAGCAGATGTAAACAATTACAACCTTCGATCGGTTTTGACCATCGCATTCCAATTTACTTTTGAGAACCACTTTCGTGACAATGTGGCTGCCATGGCTCGCCAATATGTTCGCAGTGTTGTTGGATCTGTTCAGAGGGTTGCCATGGCTATTGCTCCCTCCCGGCTTAACTCAGAAATGGGACTAAAAGGCCTGCCTGGTTCCCCTGAGGCCCTTACTTTAGCTCGTTGGATATGTCGAAGCTACAGGTATGGAGTTCTAAATTTTGCTCAGTTTTAACCTAGCACAAAAATGGGGATAAATGCTGTGTCTTCTTCATTGCTCTATTTTCTTTTCTTTTTTTTTTTTTAATATGGATTAGAATGTTACTCCATATTTTGTTATGAATTGTCTGTACCTTTGGCTTTCTTTCATTCTTACGGAAGTGTTGAATGGACTGGCTGTAATAGTGCACTAAATTATTTCCTCTATGCTCAAGTTACTAAACCTCTTCTATGTTCAGTAAATGACTTAAGTCTTTGCCGAATTAGATGCTTGGTTTTTCCTTTTAGTTTGGTTTTATTTTTCTCTTGATTTTTCTTCTACTCTGATGTTGATTATGGTATTTGTCTTTATTTTAGAATCCACACTGGTGGAGATCTGTTCAGGGTTGATTCACAAGCTGGTGATGCCTTGTTGAAGCAACTGTGGCACCATTCAGATGCAATCATGTGCTGTTCCTTGAAAACAAATGTAATTAACACTCTTCCTTTGCGATCATATGTTGACTTAATGTTTTACCTGTTGACATACATGTTTTAAACAGAATAACAAAGTAACCCAATGAATTTTTGCTCTTTTTTTTTTCCCCTTTTATGTAATAGTAGAACTGGAGTTATGAAACTGTCGAGCAGTCGATTATTAAGCTGCTGTAGACCACAAGTAGGCATGTTGCATGTAACTGTGATGCTTTTTACTAATGATGATGCTAACATTATTGGCAAAATGTTGTTGCAGGCTTCTCCAATTTTTACTTTTGCCAACCAAGCTGGACTTGACATGCTCGAAACTACTCTTGTTGCCCTGCAAGACATAATGCTGGACAAGATTCTTGATGAAGCTGGCCGAAAGATTCTCTGCTCTGAATTCTCTAAGATCATGCAGCAGGTAATATTCCAGAACATCAGAGATAAATCTGAGTCAGCTAAGATCTCAGTATATTCAGTCCATCTAATGTCTTTACCTATATTTCTAACTGCAGGGATTTGCATACCTCCCAGCTGGAATATGCGTATCCAGCATGGGCAGGCCGGTGTCCTACGAGCAGGCCATTGCATGGAAGGTTCTCAACGATGATGATTCCAACCACTGTCTTGCCTTCATGTTCGTAAATTGGTCTTTTGTGTGATGAAAGACATGTATCACCTACTCTTTCTAGGTTTCTGACTATGTGCTAAGTTATATAAAATATTATTTGCATCTAGAACTACCCAAGACAATATGGACCTGAATGGAATCACTGTATGATTTCATGAAATGCTTTTCTATATAACGTTATCTGTGTTAGATGTTTGCCTGCTGGCATGATTACGCTGTTTATCTGAATGTCAACTGGAAGTTTGTTTGAATTTCAATTTAGCTTTGATTATGTTGGGATTAGGCTTTCATAGCAGTGGGGCCTAATCTGCCGGTGTTTTTTCTTTGGTTTCTAGAAGCAGGATAAAAACTAAATCATTTGCCCATATTCGTTGAATTCTTTTTCCAGCACTGTTCGACTTGCTGGAAAACAGAAAGAGATGGGAATCACTTTAATTTAGCAGCTTCCACATGTTAACCATGCATGTTATCGTTTGACTCAGCGGTTTTGCAGTCTCCACTACCAAACAGCGACCTTTAGATAAGAGAGGGTCTCTAATATTTGGAGGGTCTATACTTCATTCAAGTACCTATATTTTGTAATATGATGTTTAAATTGTAAAATTATTTTGTAGTTCGGCATTGTTTGGCCTGTTAAACAGTTTTTTATTTGTTTATGGTTGCCAAACAGTGTTAAATGTACTTTAAAGGCAAATAATCAGAAAGCAGGGACCTTCATGGAGTCTGCAAGGGTAAAGGCCTTGTGTCTTTTGTTTTGGATTTTTTTTTCTTTTTCAGGATTAGGATATGATGACACTAGTAGCCAATTCAGTGGGCACTGCACCGAAGAAACAGGGCTTGGCGACAGTAAGAGCAGAGCAGGCCTTTCATTTATGCGATTTTAACTCATTACAGCAGAGATAATATCTTTCCTAATAAATATGATTAATGAACAGGACATCCCTTATAAATGGCTATCGTCCTCTGCCTGGGACAATCTTGCTCGAAGGAAGAAAAAAATCCATGCTAAATCCAAATCATTCAGGATCCATTCAGGTGAAAACAGATTCTATAATTTCTTTTGTATTTTAGTTTCAGAAAGATACTATCATTTCTTTTGTATTTTAATATTAAAAAGTACTGCAGTTTGTATCTCTTCTAATTATCAATGAAAGAAAGTTTTTTATTTATTAATAATTATAAAATATATAATGTACAATTTTCTTTTAGGGTTTTTTTTTTCTTGCTCTTGTATAAGGGAGAAATTGATAGTTTGGCCAGCCAAGCAAAACAGGTACATCTATTTAGTCGATACAACGTGAGTTTCTTCTCTTTTATTGTCTATTCATTTTTAGCATATAGGCACTTACTCTAACCAATAAGAGAATGTTTTGGTTGGGATGAAAAACTATTCTTTTGTCAAATTATATAAAATTATGAATGTAGAAGGATTGAGGTTGATGATTTTTCTGTTAAATTAGGGGATGAGAATGAAATAGTCATTTTCTTAAAGAGAGAGAAGGTAATAGTATAATATAACCGCTCCTTCCTTAATCTAAAAGGAAGTTGCATATCAACATTCAGTCCCCCTCATTTTAATTTAACTTTATTTTTTAAAGAAATTTTTTAATTAATCTTGATTTTACATCTCTTTTTATATATTAAAACAAGTGGTTCAAGTTCTTAAAAATAAGAGGATAGAAAGAGGGAGCAAGAGTTTAAATTTTGGTCATGAAGATAATAAAACTTTTTATAACAGTGATAAAGCCATTGTATCTACTGAAACCATATATACTAATTGCAACTCTTGTTTTTACCACTTTAATTTTTGGTTTAGTGGAAATTAATTTTGTCTAAGTACCTGAGCTTAATGTCTGACTTATGAAAAGGTTGTTTTCTGAGGTGCCAGGAATTCACACTCAGCTGATGACGGGGAGACAAGGTTTGAAATTCAATGGCAGTGGTACGAAGGGCACGGAAATACCATAGGAAGTGTCTTAGTACATTCTTGTTTACCACCGGTGAATTTTACCTTTTCTTTTTATTTACTAGTACCTTCATGTGCAATAATTATATTAAATTTTAATTGATTTAAAGTTGAATTACCTCAGATTTTACAAGGTAAATTTTTTGAATCTTTATTTATTTATTTAGAAAACTCAAATTTAAAATCTTATTAAAAAAAATTAAATTTCTTTGACTTAAACTAATAAGTTTTTAATACCAATAAATTCTACCTTAGAGTTGCTAAACAGTGTATCACCTTTGTCTCTATAATGTTATCTCACAATTGGGGTTGGGGAAAGCCTGGGAGGATCAAAACCACCCATCATGTGACCTTTACGTGAAAGTCATACGATGGATGGTCTTAATTCTAGTAATTTTGATTTTTTATTTTTTGATCTCAATTAATAAAAAAAATTAAAATTTTAAGTAAAAGACATTGAAATAAATATGGATGAATTTAAGAAAAATATTTAAGTATTTTTAAAAATAATCATTCATTAGATATATTCCTTTTATTCAAAAATAATAAAAATTTTAAATTAAAATTAATAAAAAGATATTATAAATTAATTATAAAATTATACTTTAAAATAAAATTTTGCTTAAAAATAATAAAAATTTAAAAATTAAAATATTTTGATATTTAAATATTAAAACTTTTGTATGATAAGTTTAAATATTTTAATTATTAAAATGTTTTAATTTTTTATAATCCCAAAAAACTATACGTGAGAAACATTATCATATTGAGGCTTAGTTTTTATCATACGGGAGGGTTCAGCCTTAAGTGAGAGAAATAGTCTGAACTCCACCAAGCAAGCAGTACGATAAGCACGTCTCGACGAGAGGTGGGATATTCATTTGGATGAAATCTTTAATTATTAATAATTAATAAAATTAATCTATTAATTACCGACCAGGCATGTAACTCAATGGTTGACCCTCAAGTCTTAGGATAAGACAGAAGTTACGGTTTTGAGTTCTGTTATCGTCGTGAATTTTATCAACTTGCGACTTAATGATTGCGCGTCTCTTCTGAGAGGGTGAATTATTCACCATTCTGAAAAGTTTCAGTTACTAACAACTAATTTTACTAATTTTCTAACCATTATCTTTGTCAACAAAAATTCTATTAATTATTATTCTAAAAAAAAAAATAGTCCGAAATCTGATGTGATGACGATTTTTTATACGGGGACAAAAGCAGTTGATGAGTGATGGGTCATATCCCAGATTATGTCACGCGCACTGATCAGATCATTAAATAAAATCCCACGGTAGCATGCCGTATCACGTGGCGCTCACCCATTTATTTGGCCCACATATAACTCTTGACTTTCCTTTCCTACCTTATTGCTCAATATTCGTCCTTATTGTATTTACTCGCTCCCACTCTTTACTTCAAAGCCATGCACGGCTTTTGCAATTTTGTTTATTTTTTCTTAAAATAAATATATTAAAATAAAAAATAAATAATTAAATTTTTATATAAATAATATGTATAAAAATTACGTGTAAATAAATTTTAATTTATTAATTCAAAATATAAATTACAAATAACATTAAAATTTCAAAATGATCATTCACATGCACTTTGTAACTCACTTTCAGAAAGTCAACTTGGGTTGGAAAACCAGAGGGAGTCAAGTGGAGAATTGAAAAAGAACTGTATGGACCAAAGGCTAGAGGCCAGAAGGGAAAGCGAAAGTACAGAGGAATCTTAGGTTGATTATGTAGGTTTTGTGATTGGGATGAGAGGAGAGGTAGGGGACCAAATGAGAAATGGAAATGGTACCTTAATAATTCAAAATGAAATAAAATAATCACATAATAATTGAAATTATCTTACAATACATAGATCTGATAATATGCTTCGTGATAATTTATATTATTATCTTACAAATCGAAGTACTCTTTGTATTTTTATTAATTCATGCGCATGCACTAGGCTCTTTACTGAGTGATTAAAAAGCATGTCATTTTTCTAGAAAGAAAGATCAATTCAGTCAATTATTCTCAATTACAAATCGAAATGAATGCAAAGCACATAGTAAATCCAACGCCAACCCAGACCTCAGTCAACCGGAACAGTGAATCGTCATTTTTGGAATCACACTTTCTGACCAATCAGAATTTTTCAGACAGACACACCCACCCCACAGGTCCCCCACTACTCTTTAGGTAAAAAGCTTATTTTTTACCTTTTATTTTATTAAATTTATAAATTTTAACAATTTATTTTATATTATAACATTTTAATCCCTTATATATTAAAATTAATAAAAATAATTTTTATTTATAATATTTTATTAATTTTATTAGTTAAATATTAATTTTATTAACTAATTATTAATTAATTATTAGTTAATAAAAACTTACTTTCAATTAATAAAATTAACAATTAACTTATAAAATTAATAAAATATTATAAAATAAAAATTATTTTTTAATTATAATAAATAAAAAATTAAAAATATCATAATATAAAATAAAAAATAAAAATCTATAAATCTAATCAAATAAAAAACCAAAAATAAGTTTTTACCCTCCTCTTTAAACCCCCTCGTATCTTTCGTATCCCTACACACATATATATATATATATAGATATATCTGACCCACGTACTCCATCCATTCCATGCTATAACATCTATCATGCTTCATGCATGATTACATTTGCATACATTGCATCCCCACGAACATTCATATATTACGTGATACATCTTCCTCTGCCAACTTTGGGACCCACGTGAGAGCAGCTAGGGTTAGACGTGACCTTTAAATACAAGCTAAAGTTGCTAGCTAGTAGTGTGTAGGTTTTCACCCTTTTCAGCGTTTGAAATTCGAGGCGTTTTTAAAGTTACGAATGCGAAAGCCTCTCTGTTTTTTCGAGCCTCGTGCTCCGCTCCAAAGTCCCTCTAACTAAGTTCTGCTCCTAGTAACCACGTTAGTTTATGTCAACATAAGCCGCATGCATATTAGCAGTAAAAAGAACGCCTAAAACTAAAACTTACCAAGCTGTTTTCGTTTTAAGTCTAGTGAATATATAGACATTTATTTGTTCATTGTCTGATGTTATGTTATTTATATATTGAATATTTTTAACTCAACTTTAATTGAAATAAGTAGCATTGTTCTTCTTTAAATTATGCTTAGTCATGTTTACTTTCTTTAATTTAAGATTTAAAAAAAAAAATTCAATAATAAAAAGAAAGTATCGTTAAATCACTTAATCATTGGCATTGGTTCTGTTAATTTAAATTATGCTAGTATAAATTAATCAAATTAGATTTTTTTTTTTTACTTATTGTACACATCATTTAAACAAAAACAGGGAAATTGATGAAAGCATACTGTTGTCGTATGGAGGGAACTCTTATCCTTCTCCTTTTTGTCGATTTGCAGCATTAATCTAGCACATGGGTTGTCTTTCTTTTTCTGTTTCTCTCTCTCAAAAAATTTTCTCTTTTACAGGTGAAAGATTCATTATCGTGCTTTTGGGTTCTTTTGATGCCATTGTTGGACTCCCCACATTAAAGCGCAAAGATCTCAAACTTTTCAAAGCCCGAGGGGGACAGACAAAACGCCCTACCCTAGGCCTTGTTTGTTTTCGATTTCGGTTTTGTTTTGTGTGTCCGAATAAGAAACATATCTTCCTAGATTGTCTGGGAATTCAATACTACTAGATCGTGGATAGATGCATATAGACTATCATGGAGCTGTGACTTTAGAGTTCTTAAGAAGGGGATGGAGGGAGGCTGACTTGTTTCTCTTGCTCTGTATATGGTTAAGGGTTAGGGAGGGAGGGGGTTCCCATTTTTGGTGGTAGGAGGGGTGAAATGATGATAAATAGGGACTGGCCGGTTTCATGGCTACTGTTGCTGCATTTTGGTGTTAGATTTTGAGGGGATTAGGGCGGCATGAGGATTGCAGTGGTTGGGTTTTGGGGTAGAGTTCATGATTGGTGCCGTTGATCATTGGATTTTGTGTTGGACCAAAGTGAAGTGGTTTGAAATTTTCTTTGGGTTCATAAATGGAAATGGTGGTGCAGGTTGGACCTATTTTTCTGCATTTGACACATTCCATGGTTCACTTCTTTCCACAACGGACGAACGAATTCTGGTTGCTTAATATTGTTAAACACGAAAGATGATACGTAAACTAAAAGAAATACGGATTTCAAGAAGAATTTGGATTTTTCAAATGGAACTGCAAAAATATATAACTTGTGTTATAAAAAATTTACTATACTCAGTTTTTAATATTAAACTCCCAAATAGCCTTCGGAAAATGATATCTGTATATACGTCTGACGGGTTGTCTCTTGGCTTCTTGATAAAAAAGTTAAAAATAATATAATTATAATATTAAGTAATATTATAAATTTATAATATAATATATTATTATTTAATTAATTTTAAAAAAATTGATTTATGATGTTATATATATATCAATTATTTAATAATATGTTATGATTATAAATTTATAATTTTATATAATATTATAATTACAATACTAACATTAAAGTATTATTTAGCTAGTTAAGAAAAAGCAACCACCTTTCTTAGTATAGTTTTTAGTGACAATCCATTTTACTTTCTACTACACTACTTAATTTCAATTACACTTCTTTATTTTTTATTTTTATTTTAAAATTAAATAATTTCAACAAACACTGTTTAATTTACATCCCACAACACTACATAATAGTTAAAGGATATTTTATTAAATTAACGTAATTGGGAGATGGGCTTCTAAATTTTGAGGAGATGGTATGATAAATACTTTTCCATAATTTTTCTGTACTAGTTAATTAATTATTTTCATTCTCTATTCGGGCTTTAATTTATTTGTGAAAGGAACTGGAAGAGATTACTCTCGCGGCCCAAGGACTGGACGGCTTACGGGCCGAAACCATTTTGGATTAACTCCGCAGCTCATTCTTTCTTTTGGGCTATCAGTTCAGTTCTTTAGTGCCGTAGTCCGTATATATATACCCAAATTTTATTGTGCAAATACATGTAACCAAGACTGGCGGTCCGGAACCCGCACCAAACAGGACCGAAGTTGGCCCAAAAAACAAGCCCAACATCATCGCAAACAGAAACAATATTCCATTATGACATTCCCGATGACAGAATCAAAGATTTCAGAACAATGGAGAACAGCAACAGTACCAGCATCATATCTCGCGAGAAGCTGGACCAGGTCACCAGCTGGGTCGGCGCCACCGTGGCCTCTGCCTTTTTTGCCTCGCTCAAGCGCTTCTCCTGCGTCAATCTCACCACCACCGACGCCGACGCTGACGTCGACAACGACAACGACAACGACAACGACGATCCCCTGGAGGCCAAGGACAGTCCGCTCCTTCAATCCTGATCCCCGCCATTGGGGCTTTGTTCGGTATTTATTCAGATTTATGTAGTTTACATGCCTCTGCATTTTAGGGTGCGATTTGCCTAAACTTGTCATCGAATTTACAGGTAGCAAAGCTTAAATTATAAATTCGTTGTGTTGATGTAACTTCAAATTTCAACGCTTTACTCGTGCTTTATGTTCCCGTTTGAGTTCTGTATATGCAAAATCCGAAATTGTTTCTTGTTTAATTGGTATTAGAGGACCTGGTGATGCTTGCTTGTGTTGGACACTTGGTTTGTTGTGGAATAAAATCTATTGTGGTTGTGTGCTATTAAATTTAGCTGATTATATTCTTATGTTGGTTAATTTATGGCATCTTCCTTTTTACTCGGAGTTGTTTTACATTTGCATTTCAATTTGCTGTATTTGGGTGGGTTTTTCAGAAAATTTGTGTCAGCTGGATCTGTGCCATAGGTATTGAATTCATGGTTTATAATGGCGAATCCACTGTAACTGATTAATGTCAAAATCCTTACCATGCATCTGACTTATATAAGGTATGGTGCCGGTTTCTTCTCTTTATTTTTGGTCACTAGAAATGCTTCAAATAAATGTTTAACGGGGTATAAGTCACATACAATCTTAGAAAGAATTTTAATTTTTGTTGGAGTTTCTCTGTTGTGATATTGTGGTACTAATAACTCTATACTTTTGGCTCAGCTTGCATGACTGTAGCAAGATGAAATGCTGGTCTTGTTCTCAATTCATAGTCAGTTTGGTCTTGATTTCAACCTTATTGCTTAGATTAGGAGTGTTGTTAATTCTTGTTGGTTTGTGCTGGTAATAACATTATATGGAGGATACGTTATAACCGATTGAAGGATTTATTGCTTCTAATCCAATTTACGAGTCAACTGGATTTAATTCCCTTGAGGTCATCCTGATAACTAACAGTCAATACAAGCTAGCTTTAATGAGTTATTTCTTCTCTCTGTTTTGCTTCATTCATTTATCTCTTTCCATCTTCTAGCTAGGTGAAAGGTTTGAGCTAAGATTAGCCCAAATTCTAAGGAAGTAATGTTTCTAATGTATTAACAGACAAGCAGCAAATCACTAAGAGTGCTTTGAGTTTGGCTCAAATCATTGACTTAAAACGGAGTTTTATAGCCAAATTCCTATGAATGTTTGGCCACGTCCAATAAGTGAACACAGAACACCTTAAATCAATTGTTATTGCCCTTTAGTAGATTTAGATAAACTAGTTAGGCTGAGATGTGCTACAATTTTCTCATACACTTTGTCTGAAGAGGCTGTAGGTTATAAAACCATCTGTATGGCAGTGGATTCTAGATTTACAGATTTATGCCAAGTTGCTTGTGATTTCAACCTAATCTGCTATTTGAAATTTCTTTGTTGCTTTCTTGATCATCATCTTCTTGTGGAACACAGACGTGTGTGCACTAAAATTTTTAACCAAAGAATATTTTTCTCGTGATTTTATTGTTAAGTCTTGCTTTCTTCTTCATTACTCCAGTTAAGATTATGTTTTCTTTCTTAGAAAATATAGCTACAAGTTAAAGACTAGATAAATGATCTGCTAAAGTGCTAATTACAGCATATGGTGATACAGAAACCTGAATTTATAGATAGAAGGGAAAAGGAGAGAAAGGAGAGGGAAAGCAAGACTATAAAATGCATTATCTTTAGAAGTCTACTGCAAGTTTACTCATCTCTTGCTGCTTACATACTCCATAATTTCTACGGACATTAGCAGCCATTGCAGTTCATAATCATCTCATGCCTAGAATAGTTAGTAGTATGTATGTTTAACTTTACCTGTTCGCTTTATCTCTATGCTCCCTCCAACAAATCAGCATGAAGACACAACGGCGGATAATGTATAGTTTTGCCCACTTTCCCTTCAAACTTTTACTTCTTGTGACCTCGACCCCTGCTTGCTTCTGTGGGGAAGACCTTTGCATTTCCATGAGACTTCTCCCGGTTTTTCCTCTTCTGCTGCAGTGCACCTATCTTCTGTCCTGGTCATTTCATTGTATAAGAGTTTCCTGGCTGTGGGATCTCTCTGTAGGAGTTACAAAAGCTTCTTGGAATTAAATGATGGTATGCAATTGCTTGAATTGGAGAGCCGTTATGGAGATGAAAGCTCTACTTTGGTGTTGCAGTCAACCGTGGAGCAGGTTTCCTGCACCTTAAAAGTTTAGTATCCGGAGTTCCAGGCTATTTGTCTATTTGAGTCGCTTAAGTTTGAACTTTTCCCAGAATTTAGTGCCAAACGGACAAATGGAAAACATCTGCCTACATGTAATAGCATATTTTGTTAGCTTTTTCTAGTATTTTATTCCTACTCTAACCGATGTGTAGTAACATGCTAAGTGTTTGTTAGCTTTACTAATTGTTGACATGATAGGCAGGGTCATGGTGACTACTTAAAGTGTTAAAAGTTAAGCCATAAAAAGTTGTAAAATATTATTTTTAAAAATATTAATTTAATTTATGAAAAATAATTAATTACTGTAATTATTAACAATACTTTTTTTGTTTTATAATATAATAATTTTTTAATTTTTTTTCTTAATTAAGGATTTACGTATATCTATGTATTCACTTAAATTATCTTTAAGAGAAAAGTAAAAGA